TTTACAAGCAGACAAAATGAGCCACACTGTCCCATAGCTGGTGAATGACACTTTAGACTTCAAACCTGGGCCCCTGGATTTATAAATGCCTGCATCCTCACTACCCACGATGCCCCCTGTAGTGCCTGCATTAGGTGTATACACACACACACACACACACACACACACACACACACACACACGTCTGGCAAAGGGACACCATATTAAAACTAAAGCCATATTTGAAAGTCCCCAAAATGACATCTACTTCATCTACTTCAGTCCCCTAATTTGAGCTAAGTTCACTCTGCAGTCTAGAAAATGAAAGCAGGCCCTGTGGGTGTTGAGGCTCCCCTGGGGATGGGGATTCAACACCCCTTTGGTTGCCTGTCCCAGTGTTTTTATCACCTCAGGATGCAATGGCCAGACACCTTTAAGGTCTCTCAGCTGGAAAAAATGACTATGAATAAAACAAATGAAGCTCTCCGCGGTGGAAACTCTGGATGGTGCCTGCAGTGGGGTATTTCCCCCACATCTGTCTCCTCCCACTTGGAGCTCATCCTTTATTGCCCAAAGATGTTCCTCTTCCGTCACTGGCCGCTAATCGGCAGCTCAGGTACTGGGCGTCCAAGACGGCCTCATTATTTAAGGCAGTCAGTGTTCCACCCCACACTGCAATCCATTATCATTCAAATGAGGCAGCCACAATGGGAGGAAAAAATATGCAAGCTGATTTCTCTCCAACAACCTCTTCTCAGTACTCCCTAATTACAGCCAGCCCGCCATTGATTGGGACAGTTTCACATGGAGGGCTGACATGGGCAGCCATGGTGCTCTCATCTAAGCAAACTGCAAACATATCTGAACTTGCTAACACGGTCTAGGTAAGCAGAATTGTATTCACAGCTCAGTGGTATTCAGTGCTTTGAATTTACCAGTCAGCGGTGTCTTAGAGCATTTCCTGGTTCCACGGATTTGCACCCTTCTCCCCTTAATGGGATTCATTCCTGACTTGATTTTTCCTTGCTCCTGGTTTTCCTGTCCTTGTCTTTCATATACATTCATGATGGCACTCCCTACCCAGTGCTCAAGGTTGTTCCAATGATGAATGGGCTTAGTCATTCAACAAATATTTACTAAATACCTACTAAGTGCTATGTCTGTGTTGGGCATATAAATCCAGCATAATCCTTCCTTTTTCTATAACATTAAAGGCTCTTGCCAGAGTTAGATATTTAACCACCATGTTGCAAATTGTGGTAACCACACTTTAAGTGGAGAAAGGATACTCACATTGTGTAGAGGGACCCCAATTCTCAACACCAATAAAGGATACACATCTCCCAAATTCTTCTCCAAATGACATTTGTCCTAGGAAACCCTTCTTTTGAGATTTCTTTTCTTTTTAATTGTGTGTGAGTGGGCATGTGCACTTGTGGGTACAGGTGCCCACAGAGCTCAGAAGACAGTGTTGGATTGTTGGGTGCTAGAGTTACAGGTAGTTGTGAGCCATCCTGGAGGCAGGAAACTGAACCTGAAATATTCTAACTACTGAGCCATCTCTCCAAGCCCTGGGAGATACTATTTCTTGAAATTTTTTTGTTTTATTTTTTAAATGGCCTATGACTTTCCTAGGGAGAATGTAGGAATTGGTGAAATTTGTTGGCTGGTGTAAGGATCTCAGCCATCTCCTCTTACATGTGCTCCGAGTTGCTGTTGGATGATGATGTTTCGTCTCTACAAATCTGCTCAGGATTTGATGCAACTGAATGGACGGCAGAAAGAAGAGCTCCTTCTTGGAGTCATTTGGCTTATCCCCTCTTAGTTTTCCCTTCTTCCTAGACATTCTGCCGTTCATCTTTCTGTTCCAAGCACCTGCTGTCCAGGTTACTTACTGCTGAAGAGCTTAGAGAATATGTTAGTTGGCTTTCTATCACAAAATACCTGAGATAATTTGGCTTAAACAGAGGAAAGGTTGTAAGTGTTTGTCCACCGTCAGTTGGCACACTGTTTGGAGCCTGTCATGAGGCAACATGTCATGGTAGGAACACATGGCAGAGAAAACTGTTTAGTTCATGGTAGTCAGGCAGAGGCCAGAAGAAACCAGAGTCACCTCTCTTCCTACAGCATGAGCCCAGTGGCCCAGCTTGCTTCCTCTTAGATCCTCCTAAAGTCTCTACTCTCCACCCTAGGCTAAGGACCAAGCCCTCCGACACAGGAGTTTCAGAGGGACTTCTTGGCTTCAACCTATAATGGATTTTTGCAGACACGGTGGCGAGTGCTAATGTTTCTTCACTGGACAATATGTATTCAGCATTCACCCCATGGTAGTGCTGGGCCCTGGAGATTAGGGGCCCAGCAGCTCGAGCCGCTCCACTCCCAGAGCTTCCGGTGCCTTGAAAGATAACCACATGTACAATTACAGTGTGGCAAGAGCGTGGGGCTGGAGGCGGAGCTCAATACGAGCCTTGGCAGAGCATGCGTAAGGCCTTGCGTCCCATCTCTAGCCTAGCAACACAGGGCAAAACTGTGGTTTCCAACCTGCGGGGGGGGGGGGGGGAGTCGACTTACGAGACATCGTGCATATCGGATATTTACATTTCAGTTCAATGGTAGCAAAAGGACAGTGATGAAGTAGTAACAAAAATAATTTTATGGTTGGGGGTCACCACGACATGAGGAGCTGTGTTAAAGGGTCACGGCATTAGGGAGGTTGAGAACCGCTGCTCCCGAAGGACTGGCTGGCTGCAACTGGAAACCTGTGTAGAGTTCCTTCAGTCAGCAGCCCCAGCCCCGCGGCCACAGTCCCTGGAGACAGGCTTGGTAACCTGGCCCCGCGGGGACCAGCTCATCCCTACTCCAGGTTTGCATCACCAGGCTCCAGTACATCCCACAGACAGTGCTGCCCCTTTGTCATGCTCCTCTTGGCAATCAGGGAGGAGGGAGAGGGGGCAGCAGTGAAGGGTGACTACTTTGAGAAACTCTCCTGTCCCCCACCTCCCATTGGATCCCATGGTTCCATGCTGGGTGGCGGACATTCCATTGCCAAAATCACCCTGTCCCCTGAGTCAGGACATAGGCGTGCTGTTGCATGATGGGCTGATGGCCTTCTTTGTGCTGTGCACCCCCATATCATAAAGGCTGTGTTGTTGTTGTTTGGCTCTTTTTTGGGGGGCCTGCCACCCAGTTCTCAAATAAATCACACACGGAGGCTTATTCTTAATTATAAATGCCCGGCCTTAGCTTGGCTTCTTTCTTGCCAGCTTTCCTTAACTTAAAATTAACTCGTCTATCTTTTGACTCGGGGCTTTTCCCGTTCTCTTCCTTCTGTAAATCTTACTCTTACTCCATGGCTGGCTGTGTAGCTGGGTGGCTGGGCCCTGATGTCCTCCTCCTTCTCTGGCTCCTAGATCTCTTCTGTCTCCTCCCCAGTTTCTCCTTCTACATATTCTCTCTGCCCTCCAGCCCCGCCTATCCTTTCTCCTGCCTTGCTATTGGTCCTTCAGCTCTTTATTAGACCATCAGGTGTTATAGACAGGCACAGTAACACAGCTTCACAGAGTTAAACAAATGCAACATAAGCAAAAGTAACACAGCTTAAAATAATATTCCCCAACAGGCTGTTTGTTCATGCCTGAGCCAGAGTCTTACCTGTAATTATCAGCAGACCTATTGTATGCCATATGAAGCCCATCTCAAATGCTTGTCCCCTTTCTCCTCCCTTTCTGTCCTATATTCCTCCTTCCCTTGTCCCCTCTTTTCTTTTGACTCTTTTGAGACAGGGCCTTATTCTGTATCCCAGGCTGGTCCAAAACTTGACATTGACCAGATCTGCTTTGGTCAATCAGCTGCACATGGGTTGCTGTGTGATGTCTTGGTGCTGGCTAGTAGTCAACTTGACACAAGCTGGAGTCATCTGGGAAGAGGAAATCTCAATTGAGAAAATGCCCCCATCAGATTGGCCTATGAACATGTCTATAGGGTATTTTCCTGATTATTGAATGTAGGAGGGTCCAGTCCACTGTGGACAGTACCATTCGTGGGCAGGCGACCCTGGGGTGTATAAGAAAGCAGACTCGGCAAGTCATGGAGAGCAAAACAGTAAACAGTACTCCTCCATGGTCTCTGCATTTGTTCCGGGGTCTAGGTTCCTGCTTTGAGTTCCTTTTCTGACTTCCCTTAGTGATGGACTGTGATGTGGAAGTTTAAGCCAAATAAGCCCTTTCCCCCCACTAAGTTGGTTTTGGTCATGATGTTTATCACAGCAACAGAGACATGTAACTAGGACAATCCTGATGTCTAGACTTCTACCCAGAGATTCTGATGGAAGTGTATGGTGATGCCTGGAACAAAATGCACCCCATCCAGTGAGTCTAGTCTGCAGCCTGCTGGAAAGTACTATGTTTGTGCTTGGTTTGTGTCCTCTCAGTTGGGGTGATGTAGTTACAGCCTCCAGGTGCATGGATGTTCCAAACTACAGAGGATGTGATCCTGGCTCCCAGGAATCCAGACAACAGAATGGAGTTAACTCTGGGACTCTGATGTCTCCCAGAACCTGTACTTAGAGGAGGTGTGACGGCTGAGACCAGGATGCCCCTTGGCTTGTTCTATGTCCACAGTGTATCAGGATCACATACAGCCTTGATTCTGTATCCACAGGCAAATACCCTTCTTCCTCTTTCTGAAATCAGGGCAACCCATAACTTGTACCAGTTCCTGTTGGCCATTGAGAAGCATGCTGTAGAAACATTGTGGCTCATGATTTATAGTTTAAAAAGTTAGGTGAAAAGGGAGCTGTATCTTCAAGAGATGGGTGTGAAGCAGCACTATTCATTTCCATTTCTTTTTTTTTAAAATTTTGTAAAAAATGTTTTATCAACTCTATTTTTGTATAAAACACAAGGGAGAAACCTGGTCAATCACCACATGACCATGACCACCGGGAAAGGGACTTATCAAACTTCGAGAGTCTAAAAACATACAAATGTTTTTTATCTTGTCTACAGCAATTGTCTATGCTTTTCCACAGGTGTCCCAGTCACAGACAGTGAGGGAGAGCAGGTTGGTTCAATGAAACTTCCTAAGCAATTTTCTGCTGTCCCTTCTTCCCAATCAGGGATTTGTGGATGTGCGGGATCACACCGCCCCCGGCTATGGTAGCCTTGATAAGTGAATCCAACTCTTCATCACCTCGGATTGCAAGCTGCAAGTGACATGGAGTGATGCGCTTTACTTTGAGATCCTTGGAAGCATTACCTGCCAACCCCAGCACCTCAGCTGTGAGGTACTCCATAATTGCAGCACTGTACACAGCAGCAGTGGCACCCACTCGTCCATGGCTGGTGGTGCGAGTCTTCAAGTGTCTGTGGATGCGGCCCACAGGAAACTGCAGTCCAGCTCTCTGGGAGCGCGACACCGCCTTAGCCTTGGCCTTCCGACCATCTTTCCCAGCTTTGCCTCCAGCCATGGTCTCCGCTGCAAGACTCCCACTGTAGCCCCTGCGCGCCGCCGCCGCAGCCGCTCTCCCACTATTCATTTCTAAGCATTAAGCCGCTTGTTCTCAGCACTCCTGTGCTGATATTGTGTTCAAGCCAAGGAAAGAAACCACACTGGCTATGAGGGAGAGGACCTGAGCTCCAGCCCCATTTCAGATGCCAGTGAAGGGCACAAATGCACCCCTCACTTGTTTGTATCCCCACTTATTCAAGAGTTGGACTTGGTGAGCTGTTCCACTCTTGGTATCCCGTGTAACTGTGAAGGGTGAGGAATTCAGCCGTGATGTTCCTTGGACTGCGCATTTCACTGGAAGATATAAAGCCACGAATAGTATAAGAACCTGGAAGGCCTTTAAGATTCAAGTCAGAAAGCCTGTTGGCCTCTGCTAGAATCATGCTCAACTTGACCTTTCTGCCACAAGTAGGGGTTCTGAGTTGCAATGCCTGTAAATGTGCCTTTCTATTATTTTGGAATGAATTTTCCCCGGGGGACTAGTGCCCCAGAGTCCCAGCTGTTCAGGGAATATAGCATTGGAGAGGGGGCTCCATAGAACACTCTTCTGCATTTGGAGTCAGGCTCTATGCCTGGAAGCTGTGGGATTTGTCCAATGAGGCCAAGGGAGGGTCCCCAGAGGGAATGGGAAGTGTCCAACTGGCCTGGACATTTGTGTTCTCAGAAGCTCTTGAATGGATTCTTGTAACAGACTGGCTGGTTCTGCATCTTCTCAACTCTCTAACAGCTGTAGCTGGGAGCTCCACACCTGTAGGCTCAGCTGGCTGTAGGCTGTTGGGGGCTGCTCCGGGGCTTACATGAGAGAGTTGAAAATAGCCCTCGGTAGATAAACATTGAGTTTGGCTATAGGTTCACTCTGGCTTTAATGTTCCAGTTCCTGTTGGCTTGTTCTGTCAGCTAAGGCAGTCTACACTTCAATTAACAGAAAACCTGATGGAAACTAACTTAACTAAAGGATGCATCACTATCTCATATAAATGGAGGATTCTAGTTGGAGAGATGCCATGCTTGGGTGTTTCTCAGATGAATGACATCACCAGGGACCCATATTCTTTGTGCTTCTACCCTCTGTCCTCTTCAATAATTGTTTCATCGGTGGGCTGCTAGCAAGGTGATTGCAGCTGGTCTAGGTGTCACATATGGATGTAATGACATCCAAAGAAAGAGGGACATCTCCACCTGTGACTTGTCCTTAAGAACGAGAAGTTTCCTTGCTGGGGATGTCTTTCTGTATGCTGTGAATGTGTGTTGCTCTGATTTGGTTGATAAATAAAAAGCTGATTGGCCAGTAGCCAGGCAGGAAGTATAGTATAGGCGGGATAAGCAGAGAGGTGAATTCTGGGAAGAGGAAGGCCAGCCAGACACAGAGGAAGCAAGATGTGAAGGCAGAACTGAGAAAAGGTACTACCAAGTCACCTGGCTAAACATAAATAAGAATTATGAATTAATTTAAGTGTAAGAGCTAGTCAATAGTTAGCCTGAGCTAATGGCTGAGCAGTTTTAATTAATATAAGCCTCTGTGTGTTTACTTGGGTCCAAGCAGCTGCAGGACTGGCAGGTGAGAGAGATTTGTCCTGAGGCCAGGTGGGACACAGGAAAACTTCAGCTACATTTCCTCCCAAGCCTCTCTGGGATTACTGGGTTTGTCTAGAGTAATCTTCTATGGTGGAATGGGTTTGGAGGAGACGACCAAAGCCCAGCATGTCTTCTAACAATGACTCTTCCTTTGGTTGACAGTTTGAGCTTTCTGAATTCTTGTTTGATCATCCACCTTTTCCTTAGCAATTTATCATGGTCCTTTCTTTCTCCTTCCAGCTCCATTGGCAACCCCACCAAATTTATCATAGCTGGTAACTCCACATCTAGATCCTACTGAAGCCAGGCAGGAGTAGCAGGAATCACCCGCTGTTCAACATTTCTCTTGGCCTGACCCTCCTGTCTTTTGGTCTTTGTTCCCATTCCACCAAGGTCAGTGTTATTGGTTTTGTGCCTCTGAATGAGGCATGTCATAGACCTGAGGAAGTGGGAGGTGTCACAGGCCATAATCATGTCCTCCATGTGGATAGCTTGTGGTCATAGCTGCAAGCTGCTTTCATCTCGGAGTCCTAGTGGAAGCAGCTCCCATTGACTGACTCTGTGCTCTGGGAGAGAGCAGCTGTAGGCCTTAGAAGGGAAGGTATTGACTCCCCATTTGTGATTTTTTTTTTCTATTTCACCATGACCTGCAGTAGTGCAGAACATGGCAAATTATCTCTTTTATCTGTGGAAGAATCCAGCAATTAGAAAGCCAAGATCTCATCACATGCAAGGGAACCACTATTCTCCAACATTATTGTCAAGGTAAAAAAAAAAAAATGCCTAAAATGAGTCCTATTCCTTTTTCACAGCTACTCTTCCCTCTTGCCTTCCTTCCCTCTTTCCTTCCCTTTCCTTCCCTTCCCCCTCCCTCCCTTCCTTCCTGGGTGGTGGAATGCAGCCTTGTAGAGGCAGTATATAGAAAGGGTTAGATTCAGAGACATTTGCCACCCTACAACACAGGTTATATTTTCCAAACCACTAAGAACAGGGAGTTTTCCATTAGCACCAGGGAAGGACAATAGATTAGCCAGGCAGAATGTCTAAGGCCAACACACAGTGATATCTGGTTTCTGTAAGTACTGTTTTATTTTTTATCTTTTTACTTTCTTTTTATTTATTCAATGTGTCTTTCCCATCATGCATCTTGATCCCTGTCCCTCTGCCCCTGCGACACCCCCCCCCCCAATAAAACAAAATTTAAGAGAAAAAAAAAAGGAAAAAAAATTTAAAATCTCATCATGGAAGCTACAGTGTGACACAGTGAGTCACGCAGTAAACTCCTTTGCTCATATATTTTTACTTACCAGTGTTTGTTGCAAAGAGTCATTGGTCTGATTCAAGGTCTCTGGTTTCTACTACACTATTGGTGCTGGGCCCTCGCTGAGACTCTTCTTGAGTATCCTGTTGTTACCTTGTATTGTGAAGATCCTGCAACTTTGGGTCTGCAGGTCAAGCCCCTTCACATGCTCCAGCAGATGGGATGGATATTGGAGCAGGCCAAGTCATAACCCTGGTCCTGGACCTGGGCAGCTGCAGGATTGGTCAGCCTGCCAGTTCTCCCCTGTCCTCACCACCAGGGTGAGCTCTCCAGCATTGCCCTGCTAATTCATCACCCTTCTAGCAATGGTGGAGCTGTAGGGCCGATTCTCCTGCTTTCACACACCTACACCATCAGGGACAGCTTTACTGTGTTGCCCAGGTGAGGTACAGGGGCCACTCTCCTGAGTCCTGCAGCTGGTGAGGGGCAGGGACAGCCCCCCTGCTCTTATGACCCCAGGGCCAGCTCCTCCACCTGTCTCAGGTGTTGATGGGCAGGGATAGGGGGGGCTTCTCTCCTCCGCCCATTCTGCCATATGTCAGGTGAGTAATGGGGACAGCTCTCTATTGCTCGCAATGTCAGGGCTGGATTACCCACACCTCCAACAACAGAGCCAGCTCAGCTGTGCTGCCTAGGCCAGGAGCAGGGCCCCGGCTTTCCTGAGTGCTGCCACTGGTAAGGGGGAGGGTCATCTCATTTGTCTGCTCTTTTGCTTTTTGAAAACACACAGATAAGAGTTCATTTGGTTCACAGACACCTGCTGAGGGATCAAACAGGATGATATTATCATCCCCGTCTGACAATTGTGAAATCCAAGATTCAGAAAAATCACACTGTTAACCATGCAAGAAGTTAATCGGGAATTCTTTCCCCAGCTCTGCACCAGGTTGGCTTTGTTAAGCTGGCCACTCGAGGTCAAGCTGGTCATTGGTGATGGATTTGAACTCATGGATGCCCAGCAGTTCCTGTTGGCTATATTGTATAGTTCTGAGGTGCCCCAGTGGACTAGGACCCAAATGTTACCTGTCTTCTTTGCAGACGAAAACCTACTGACCCCGAGGCCAATAGCCCCGTTCTGTTTTCTCCAGAATAATTTGTGGATAACATTCAGTAGAGACCTTCAACACTTAACCTTGGAGCCTGTCAACAAGTGACCCTGTGGTTAAAGGAAATCGCTCTCTCTCAGTGCATATGTCTGTGTATGCAGGCATGCACACGGTTTTGTTTGTGTGCACAGGTGCACATGGGCTACGCTGTGCACCCAACTGGACCTGTGTATACACCTGCATATATATATGTAGAGTCTGTTTGTGCATGCCATGCCGGGCTCTCTTGGTTTCCCAGAGTCCCAGGGAACACTTGCTGTGTTCTGCAATGCTTTGGGACCAGCCTCAGATGCTCTTTTAAGAAATGAGGTTGCCTTCCGGATGCTTTGTTCACTTGTTCCCCCTGCTCCCACTTGACAGAACTGCCCACACGTCCCACTCCGGGGCTGGAAAGAGGAGTGTATCATTTCACGCGCCCTTGTTTAGCTTTTCCCCATCTAAAGCCAACGCTGGCACAGCTACTGATGAGCAGAAATCAAAAGCAGAGGCCGAGCTTTTGATGGGAAAACTGCTACATTAGAGAAGGCTGGTTGTTTTGCAATTGCAGGGTAAGGTCCGTAATATTGCCAACACGGAATGGCCATTAGATTGCAAATGACTGGTCACTTTGCTGGATGACTCAGTCATCCTGTAATCATGGTTATAATATCACCTACAGTGGTCAAGCCCAGGCACCTACCAGTTACCGAGACACCAAATTGCTGGACTACATAGAGTTATGGTTATCACAGCAGGAAGGAAAGAAAGCATATCCCCCAACCCCCTGCACGCCCCAAATCCTGGGTGTGTGGCAAGCTGTCCTCATTTCCCATGGGAAAGTGGAAGTAATGACCAGAATGACTTCAGCTCTCTCTCCTCCAGTGAGTGCCCCACCCACTCCAACTGCAACTTTTTGTGGTTGTCTGCCTCCATGCCATTCCTGGAGGAGGAGGAGGTCCCTTGGGCCAGTTGGTATGTAAACTCCTAGCTGATGAGCAGGAAAGCCAGGTCATCATTGTCCTCGAGGCTTCTGCTTCTGGTGATTTGTACGTGTATGGGCAGCAATGAGTGGGCGCCTCTAGCGATGGGGAGCAGGCTG